GGATTGATTCAGCCGATCCGTCTCCAGATGGCTATGGGAGCTGGTAGTGAGATTTCTTTTCAGGAGGCGGCCAATGCGGCCCGTAGAGTTGAGATGGCACTTGCACGGGGAGGTGGTCATGGGTCAGATAAGAGGCCCCGTCATGCAGGTAGATTCAGTGGTACCTCGTCTGGAGGTGGGGATTCTTATGGTAGAGGCTATCCTCCGAGGCCCTTTCAGTCAGCCCTACAGGTCTCACATGGTACTTCAGGTGGTCGTGGCTCTCAGCCGCAGTCTTCTGACCAGCAGTTTTTCAGTTCACCATCAGCACCTATCAGCGCACCACCACTCCGTTATTCTCAGCAGCCGAGGGCTTGTTATACGTGTGGCGACACGAGGCATATTGCCAGGTATTGCCCTCGAGCTTCTGACAGCTCTCAGCAGCAGGGTCCTCGTCCTATGATTCAGGCATCAGGTGATCCACAGGCCGCCCAGCCAGCTAGAGGCGGGGGTAGAGGCCATAGAGGTGGAGGTAGAGATCATAGAGGTGGAGCTCGGACCGCCAGAGGTAGAGGCCAGCCAGCAGCCGATCGTCCCAGAGACATAGTTAAGGGAGGTGGGGCCCAGCCCCGGTGTTATGCTCTTCCAGCCAGGCCAGAGGCTGAGTCTTCAGATGCAGTTATTACAGGTACTATTTTGGTCTGTTATAGGGATGCTTCAGTGCTATTTGACCCTGGGTCTACGTATTCATATGTGTCGTCCTATTTTGCACCCTACCTGTCTATGCCTAGTGATGCTTTGGGTATTCCTGTTTATGTATCTACACTGGTGGGGGATTCTATAGTGGTCGACCGAGTTCATCGTTCCTGTGTGGTAGTATTTGAGGGTCTTGAGACCCGTGTTGATTTATTGCTCTTAGATATGGTGGATTTCGACGTCATATTAGGGATGGATTGGTTGTCCCCGTATCATGCTATCTTGGATTGTCACGCCAAGACTGTGACCTTGGATTTTCCAGACTTACCCCGAATGGAGTGGAGAGGGACCCCAGGTCATGCCACCCGCAGTGTTATCTCATATGTGAAGGCTCGACGCATGGTTGAGAAGGGGTGTCTAGCTTATCTGGCGTATGTTCGCGATTCCAGCTCAGCGGTTCCTTCTATTGATTCTGTTCCTATTGTTCGGGAGTTCCCCGAGGTTTTTCCTTCAGACCTGCCGGGTATGCCGCCCGACAGGGATATTGATTTCTGTATTGATCTGGCCCCAGGCACGCAACCCATTTTTATTCCGCTGTATCGCATGGCCCCGCCAGAGTTGAAGGAGTTAAAGGACCAGTTGCAAGATTTGCTAGAGAAGGGTTTCATCAGGCCTAGTGTTTCTCCTTGGGGTGCGCCAGTGTTATTTGTGAAGAAAAAGGATGGATCGATGAGGATGTGCATTGATTACCGGCAATTGAACAAAGTGACGATAAAGAACAAGTACCCACTGCCGAGGATTGATGATTTGTTTGACCAGCTTCAGGGTGAAAAGGTGTTTTCAAAGATAGACTTGAGATCTGGCTACCACCAGCTGAGGATTTGGGCATCCGATGTCCCTAAGACGGCATTCCGCACTCGGTACGGGCATTATGAGTTCCTGGTCATGTCGTTTGGGTTGACCAACGTCCCCAGCAGCATTCATGGAGTTGATGAACCGNAGTTAAAAACAGAACAGTAGCTCAGGATTTTCATAAAAATACACGAACTCCTTTCTTCTCCAAGCACTTAGGCGTCCATTGAAGCTCCCTTTCATCAAAACTTCTTGGGTAAGCATTGTTCAACTTGTTTTCTTCAATTATCTATTAATTACTAAATTCCTAGCCCTAAACCTTGAAATCAAAGTAGAAATGGGGGTTTTGGGTAGAGTTAGGGCTTTGGGGATTTTGGGTGATTCAACCTCAATTTGGGGTCGAATCTTGAAATAAATTATATATTTGAACTCGTGGGGTTATGGGTGATTGGGTTTTGGTCCGAGCCTCGTGTTTGGACCATGTGGGACCGATGTCGAATTTTGGTGTTTTTGGAAGAATGATAGGAATTCCATTTCTAGGCTATGAGATTATGTTTTTGAGCCCTTATTGATATTATTGAACTAATTATGACTAGATACCATTGTTTCGGAGTCGGATTGTAGAGGAAAGACGGTATTTGAGGGTTGATTGCTATTCTTTGGACCGAGGTAAGTGTTTGTTCTAACTTTGGCTTGAGGGAATAGGATTAGGATGTTATTTGCTACTTGCTAAATGTGGAGTATGGTGTATAGGCATGGTGACGGTTATCTATGCACCGGAGTCTAGCATGACCGTGAGTCTTAATTGCTTTTAATTCGAATGAAGTGACACAACCTTCTTGTTTAATTGGTAAATTTCATATAATGTGAACAGTTGAGGAAGAATTGTGATTGGTATATTTTGGAGCGTTGGCTCGAACAAGAATGTGATAGTTGAGAAAGAAGTGACTTAAAATAGGATGTGTTGTGATTATTCCCTTGCCAGGACGTGTAGACTATTATTATGTACTCTCCCTTGCCGGGATATTTGGGCTGTTAGCTGTACCCTTGCCGGGTTAAAGTGTTATGTTGTCGAATTTCCCTAATGGGGCCTTCTTTACAAAGTCAGATATTTTGAACTATAGTATGGGATCGTGTGGCACGCCGTCCACTTATATACTATAATATGGGATCGTGTGGCACGCCGTCCACTTATATATTATGAAATGGGATCGTGTGGCACGCCGACCACTATATATATTATGAAATGGGATCGTGTGGCACGCCGACCACTATATATGTTATGAAATGGGATCGTGTGGCGCGCCGACCACTTATGTATTATAATATGGGATCGTGTGGCACGCCGTCCACTATATATATCATGGAAACCCGGAGTAGTTCTGCTGTTATTTCTAATAATTCGTCTTCATTTGTTATCCCCGAGCATGCCCCCTTCCCAACTTTACTTGATATCTTCTGTTATTATTTCCATTGCTCTTGTATATGTATATATATCTGTACAGGTTGTTTTTGGTAGGTCCTGTCTAGCCTCGTCACTACTTCGCCGGGGTTAGGCCAGGCACTTACCAGCACATGGGGTCGGTTGTGCTGATGCTACACTCTGTGCATTTTTGTGCACAGATCAGGGAGCAGCTTTTGGACCGCAGCAGTAGGATTTTCGGGAGCTATCTTCAGTCCAGGGACTCACGAGGTAGCCTAGCGGGCGTTCGCAGGCCGAAGTCCCTTCTATGTTTTAGTTTGTTTACCTTGTATCGAACAAACACTATGTATTTCCTTTCAGACTTGTTTTTAGCAATCTATAGTAGTCCGTGAGCTAGTGACACCAGACTCTGGGTAGAACTATGTTTCAAACTTCCGCATTTTTGGTTTTCAGTTGTATTAATCTAAAATCTTCCGCTTATTTATTGTTCTCGTTTATTGTATTGTTTGAATGAAATCAGTAAAAATGTTTTAAATGTTTGGCTTGCCTAGCTCCGATAGTAGGCGCCATCACGACTCCCGATGGTGGAAAATTCGGGTCGTGACATAAGGAGGCTGGGGTTGGACACACTTTTGACATAATTAGACCTAAGGAGGCTAAGGAGACCGGAGATTCGACCTAAGGAGGCAAGAACACAATAGGAGTTAGGCGGGGAATTCTTCTAGGAGTTTTTCCCTTCCTCTTCTTATCTTTTATTGCTGGTTATGATTTTTAGTATTGTAGTTTTACATACTATTATGAATAGCTAATTCGTTTTCTAGAGTTTTGATAGAACCTTTTGTAGGATGAATTCTTGTTATATTTTTATATAATTGAGCCGTTGGATTTCTTTACTTGTTCAACTACGTGTTTATTGCTGTTGATTGAATGGCTATCGATTGACTGTGCCTATTTATTATGTGTTGCTTGAGAAAGGATACATATTTAGGTGGTTGTTGAGCAAAGTCACTCCTAACGTATGTGAGAAATGAATACAACGGGTTTAAAGGTAGGTTTAGAAATAACAAAGCCTTGACGTGGTCATAATGAGCGGTTAGATAAAGCCAACTAGCGTAGTTCGAGAGAATATGTCTAGTAAATTATTGTAGTAGCTCGAGAGAGAATTACGGCACCTAAAGTGCTCACGATCATTAGAGAATACATTGGCGAAATTGTAGGGAACATAGCTAGAAGGATTCCGACAATTGAGGAAATCATAACTCTAGACCTCCTTCATTTAGTCTCCAACCCTTTGTCTCGTTAGTTGATAATTTTACCGTTTTGTAGTATTTGCTAGTTAATTAGTTAGAAATATAAATCTAAATCTTTATAATTTAGAAAATTGTTCAAACTTGTCTTCTTAGTGATATTAAACAGATATAGCTAAGCCTTAGTTCTCTGTGGGATTCGACTCCGGACTTTTAGACCGGATTATATTTGCAGCGACCGCCTATCCTTTTAGGACTAGAGTTGGGCGTGATCAATTAGCATTGAAGAAGAAGAGATTTTAGGTTTCTCGCGTCTGTTTTTGCATTTTTGTAGATGGGATAGATATGTATAACTTGAGGAAAAAGGAGAATAGAAACTCAAGGATCTTTCACGCTGGAAGATCTGGAGAATCAAAAGAAAAGAAAAAAAAATCGGATATGAATTTATTGATATTTGGCTAAACATTTGCAAATTTATAATTGGACTAAAATACTGCAAGGTCACCTTATGGAGTGATCTATTGTGTAATTCTTCCTTTATTACATACTTAAGTTATAGTTACTTTCTATGTAGTCTAAAAAATGTGACTTAAATCAATCGACTAGAAGTGCAAAAGAAGTCCGAATAGAATAAAAATTGAAGTAATCAATTAAAAGTCCACAAGAAGCTCAAACCGAAAAATTAAATCGAATAAGTAAACCATAGGACAAAAAATTAAACCCATTTACGTTTTGCCATAAAACAAAACCGATCCCAAAAACACCCTAGCAATAAAACAGGGGAAGAAGGTGCAATTTCAGAAAGCAAGAGGGTCTAAAAGAAACTTAAGTGAGCCCATCTCGCACGTCACAACAATTACAAGTATTTAGGGTTTATTGGAAGGGTTTTTTCATGTTAAGGTAAACAACTGCTGCTTTTGGTTCCAGTTCAGCCCTAGCAGAAATATAAAGAGCTCAAAAAATGGATAAAAGCATGTTAGGTGATTTGGATAATCTTCCTGAAGCAGACAAGCTTAAAATGGCTTCTATGATTGACCAGCTCCAAATCCGTGACAGGTTCTTTTTTAGTTCCATTCTTTTAATTTTGTACATGTTTTGATGTTTAGTTTTGAATCTGTTAAAAATTGGGTTAATTATATGCTGTTGGTGATGTTGTATTCTTGATTTTCTTTGGGTGAGTTGAAATTGTAACATGGTCTAAAGAAGCAGAATATAGCTTAGTAACCCAAAAAAAGTGATAAAAGAAATTATCTCTACTTGCTGAAAGAGGCCATTATTCTTCATAGACTTAATAAAAAAAATTAAAAGATTTTTTTTTCTTTTATGGAGTTTAATAAGTTTAGCCTCTTAAAGAAAAAAAAATGTCAATTGAGCTGGAAATTGTTTTCTTGAAAAGGCTGTTTTGCTGGGGTTCACTGGGGGGGATGGTGGGTATATATAGCTATCGACACTAGCTAAAAGTTTCTGCAGAGGCAGTTGACCACACATTTGCTGAAATGTTAGAGAAACTTGTACCTCTGCTTGCTTTGATATCATGTCAAACTATTTGGACCTCCTCTAAAATGTTAAGCTGTTAGACCGGTTAGAAGAGGAAACCTTTATTTGTTTATTTTAGGTCTACAGCAACATTAACCTCATACTTCAATTAGTGATGGTTCATCGTGTATCAATTTATCATTGCATCTTTGATTAGGGTCACACAACCGTTTTCTAAGTCGTACTACCATTTTTGATCTTCCTAAAGAAAGAACTTCAAATTCTTTTTCTTCTGTAATAACAACTTTTAAAGTTTGAATGTTGTAAAGCGGAATTGAATGACTTGCTATTAGCCGAGCTGAGAGCACCCAAGGGTGTGAAAAAATCACTAGGTGAATTCTTTCCATCTGCCCAAGACTTCCTAGATAGAGTTATCCTGTACATGTGCTGGTGGGAGGTAGCAGGTACACCGTGGAATTAGTTGAGGTGCACGCAAGCTAGCCAGGACCACTACAGTTATAAAACAAAAAATTGTTGCCCAGTTGAGAATAAGTACAAGTCATAGTAACTATCTGCTTCAGAAGTAGCCATTCATTCTTCATATTCAATTCTTTTGTGTAGCTTCTAATTCAAGAATCCTGCACAACAAGCTCCTTTCCACCTCTTGATGTTGGGATCTATGAGAAATTGTAAGAATGATTTACTGATGGTTTGAACTTCTATAATTCTGTCTGCTAACCAATAGGCAGTCAACCCGTGATTATACTTTTCTTACATGCACAAGGTCTAAGTTGTATTATTACTGCGGAGAAGAAATGATAAAGAACTTCTAATCCTCTGAACAAACTTTAACCTGGGGAGTGGTGCTCATTTTCTTCTGTTTCTTGATCTTTCTCTGATATTCCTCCTACTTAGTGTTATCCTTTTGAGCGAGAAATTCAGTGTTTCAGTTATGGAACTCAGTAGATGGGCCTACACTTCAACTTTTCTCCAATTAAATACTATGTCTCAAACTAATGACATGTGCCTACCACACATTCGCTTTCAACATACCTTTGCTATTGAAACAAAGCCGTGGGGGTCTTCCACTCAGTATTTATTTTACAATTTTAAGATCAGGAAAAGAGAGTGTTTCGTGTTTCTTTAATATATAAGTAGGATTCATGAAGTCTATTGGGTGTGCCATGAGCAATTTTTTTTTTTTTTGGGGAAATGGTCAGTATTTTTAGATGTTGACATCAGCACTTAAGAAGGTGCTGCAATTACATCCAAATGTTAGCAATAAGGAATAAAAGAGAAGAGAAAAAGGAAACATCCTTCAATTACCGCTTAGTTGGATTAGATGTTGTTGACTGTACAACATACACACCCGCACTTAAGCCCTGAAGTGAGGCGCAAAATATGTGGAGCGCGTCGCCTCACTAGCGGACGCTTCATTGTCGTTATCAAGGCTCTAAGGCATACTTCTCCTTGCCAATGAGCATAATCCTAAAGAGACAACACTAAACAATTGATATTTCACTTTATCATAATTATTTTTTCAATTTCTTTGTCCATATATTTGTTATTCATGCTTATAATTATTAGTCATTGACTACAAATATATATTTATATTTTTTCTCCATTTGCGCCTTTCTTCACTAAAGCCCACACTTTATTCACGTTTTGCGCCTAAAGTCCCAAAGAACCTTAGAGTTTTTTGCGTTTTTCACCTTTGCTAACACTGAGTTGGAGAGAGCAATACATGCCCAGAAAGGGCGGTAGAAGCAACTAATGATAAGAGCAGAGCTTTAAAATCAGAAGGTTGTCAAGGAGTCATATTGTTTATAAGAAAGTACAGTTGGGGTGCGTGCAAGTAGATTTCTAGTATTAGGGAAATGCAAGTCTAGGTTCAATACTTAAATGCAAATAAAACAGTTGGCATGTGATGATATTCGCCTCATACTCGAGTTATAAGTTAGTTTAAGTGTTATGTCACTTTGGATAATTTGCTCTCCTTTTCAAGACGGTATCTAGGCATGGTCTTGGGATGAAACCATGTAGGATGAGACTCTAGTTTAGATCCTAAAACCACAACATGCTGAGAGTTGTAGGGAGAGAAGGCTTCAGAAGCTTGGATTCTCTGGGTCATGTTTGAATCTGGAACTATGTTTTCCTAATACTTGAGTACTTAAGATTGCTTTAGCTCACCTTGGCATGATGAGAATGCCTGTTCTGCAATTTGAAAAAGTGTTAGGTTAAAGACGCTGCGTCTTTGCAATAGTGTTTGTCAATGACACTGTTTGTTGAGGCATGTCAAATAGTATTTACAGTAAGTCATTTGGATAATAAAATAAATAAATCAAAACATTTGGAAGACTGAATTTTTTGCAAATCATCTTTTTATGCTTGCATGTGATATGGTTAATGTGCAAAAAATTCTGTCTAAATTTTTCTATGCGAGGAAGACAATTGTAAGTTGGTTTTCATCATTCAATTGTCCACCCGATATCCAACTTGCAGTTTTCTTCCCCTTGTTTTCAAAACCAAATCAGTTCCAATGATGCATGTTCGTGTCGTTGTCGGTTCTAGAATCTAGTAAATTTGACAAATTAAATGATACATCATGATGATTGTAAGACTGAAGATTGATGTAGTGTTAATTTTGTGGAAGTATAACTAAAATATCTCATAATTCACTTAATTTGCTTCATGATTTACAGTATTACAGCTCTAAAACAGCGTCTCATGTTGTCTTAAACCACTGCAGCTTGAGAATGTATAATTCCCTGGTGGAAAGATGTTTCACGGGCTGTGTAGACACTTTCAAACGTAAAACATTAGACAAACAAGAGGAGACCTGTATTACGCGATGTGCTGAGAAGTTCTTGAAGCATTCAATGCGTGTTGGTATGAGGTTCGCAGAGCTTAACCAAGGTGCAGCAACACAAGATTAAGATGATTCCTATTATATGCATGCAATCCACCTTCTCCATTACCTGAAGTATTTATCTTCTTTAAAGAGTTTCTTGACAAGGAAAAGGAGTAGAAGTTCCTAACACAGCCTTTATTTTTTATATTTAACACATTTCCTAGCAAAGAGGTATTACTAAAATGTTCATTTGTTTCTCAAATCCAGGAATTCTGGAGTTAGAACGAGTTTTTAGTAAACTTGAATTTAGTCTTGTGTCTATATTGAAGAGTACTTGCGAATTGCGATCAAAATTGCATTCTTTTTGTGGCTGTGTTTGAGAAAATAATGTGGTAATGGCTACTCAGAGACCTTTGTTCCTTCTTGTTGGCTAGTGGTTCCCATAGTAAGCAATTTCATTTTTTGAGTAATTACACATTACAATATATATGTCCACCGGAAAAAGCCGCTCTAGTGGCACAAGGTAGGGGTAAGACTGCGTACACACTACCCTCCCCAGACTCCTATTTGTGGGATTATACTGGGTTTATTTTTGTTGTTGTACCAATTCTTGGTGCACCGGAGGTTGTGGACTAACCGTCAATGAGATATGATGAAAGTTATGGAAGATCAAGGTTCAATTCTAGCGGAGACCAAAAAAGATACTATTTATATTGTCTTTTTTTTCATTTGCCTAAACTTTAGTGTGCCGAGTTACCTACTGTGCTTGTGAAGGTAACAATTATCTGGTTGAATAGTTAATGTGCACAAATGTGTTATATAAAATTAATTGGATAATTCACAATATTTTTTGGTATTAGGCCACAAAATCAACCTCTGATAGGTCACCGGATTAGCTCCCCTGGAGATGGTTCCTCATTTTCTAGAAAGGAATTTTTACATTCCTATACCATATAGGAAATCTTATTACCCTCAATGTTTAAGGTTTGATATAATTACATTTAGTATACCAAATTACCAATTCTATACCATAGTATATTTTAAGGGTACAATTAATGCAGCGTATATCCTTCCTTAATTTAAGGTACCGTATATCCCACCTCTCCCACGTTTCTCTCTCCCAAACCCTCACCCTCACCCACGTTTATGTACTGTTATTAAACATAACAACCTATGATTATGGAACATAGATTTGCAGCATATTGATGTAGAAACCTATGATTTGCATTTCACAACGTATGAGAGTAAACAAAACATTCCCATTTATATAGTAGGTAAATTTCATAATTTGCTACTGTCCTGAAATTACAAATGAATGTGATCTAGCGGTTATGGACCAGCTCGTGTTGTAGTATTAAAGTGAATTTAGAAATATTATATTACGGTAATTGAAATTTCTGATACCGAGCAGTTTGCAGCTTTAATAACCATCTCAACTTTTAAAAGTCAAAATCAATCTATGAATAGTTTGACTTCACAAATTTGGTCAGATTGATAGTTGAAAAGAGGAAATGTTGAACCGAATAGGTTAAAAGGAGTAGTTTAGTGTGTAGTAATTGATGAATAGAATGGCTTGTCACAAATATTAACGAAATCAATGGGAGAACAAAAGTAACTGAGAGTGTATTGATACAAGTAAAGGAGTTGATTAGCTTAATTGGTATTTTCGACATAATTGCGTTTTTTGCAGAAGATTTTGTAGAAGTTTTAATCGTTTTGGATTTGTGAAAATAGAAAACAATGCATCTACAATCAAAATACAAATAATCTACAATTCATCTACAAAATATCTACAAACTGGGTATATTGAATTTTAATATCCAATTCCCATTCGATTGTAGTTTAATTGGGATTTTCGACATAATTGCATTTTTTGCAGAAAATTTATAGAAGTTTTAGTCATTTTTGATTTGTGAAAACAGAAAACAAAGCATCTACAATTAGAATACAAATAATCTACAATTTATCTACAAAATATCTACAAACTGGGTACATTGAATTTTTATATCCCAATTCCCATTCAATTGTAGCATAATTGCGATTTTTGACATAATTGCTTTTTTTCAGAAGATTTGTAGAAGTTTTAGCCGTTTTTTATTTGTGAAAACAGAAAATAAAGCATCTACAATCAGAATACAATTCATCTACAATTTATCTACAATTTCTGCAATATGTCTTCTTCTTCGAGTTTCAATCTGAAATTCAGTCAAACCCAAGTCTAATCTTCACCAAAACCCCTCAAAATTGAGATATAAACTCCAAACCATATTCCCGATTATTTTTAACAACACCCAATCCAAACAAATAATGATTTTTTAGAACCCAAATTTGAATTCAAAGCTTTCAAGCTTTTTAATGGCTGTCAATGGTGGAAAATATCTGGAAGAATATTTACTTCCATAATTGTAGCGCACGCACAGATTCTTTTAACGAATCAAACATCTGTTTTGTCGTAATATATTAACAAGAATTTATGAGGTATCAATTTGGTTATTAGCAGAATCCGCGGTTAAGGTTCTATATTTATCAAAGAATTGGCGATTGGTTTACGCGCTTAAGCAACACAGCCACATATCTGAATGTTCATATACAAAATATATCTAGAAGAATATTTAGTTCCAGATTTGTAGCGCGCCTAATTAGGAAGGAATCAGCTCCTAATAATTGGTATTTAATGAATGATATATATTTTGTAGAATAACTGTGAACATGGAGGGTAAATATGAAACTATGCACATTTTTGATAATAAGGTTTCATATATGGTATAGGAAGAAAAAAGTCTCTTGTAGAAACTTGTTATCAAAGATGAAACCAAATCTTTTTAACTGTAGTTTGGAGCTAATTTTTTTTTTAAAAACATAGTTTCCAGATTTAATAATTTTAGTTGAAGCGGACAAATGGTAAACGTCACTTGGCAGGTCATCAAAATTTTGAGTTCCAAAAAAATATTAAAATTAATATTTTGGAGGATAAATTTTCTCGGAAGTGTTTAAGAATTCATTCCCAAATGGTTAATGTACCTTGTTCATTACCCTCGATCCCAAATGCTTAGCTTACTTTATTATTATTTATTTATAAATATCTTAAGATGTTGTTACTTTCTTTTAAAGAAAAGTTTTATTGCGTTCCAGTTGAATGACGGGCTACGAAATAAAAGAATTATTGCATCATTTCGTTGTGCAAAGTTGGACATTCATTTCTCAAATTTTTTTGTGATAAAATGTAATATGTTCAAAAACTATATAAAGATTATTCTAGCTCACTACTTGTCACGATCCAAAATTCATTAAGGATCTGATGGCGTCGGACACCACTATCAGGCAAGCCAACATTATTTAGCTAGAGATTTCTCGTTTTAGATATTCCCGAAATTATTTCTTTTATACATTTAAACAATAAATAATAAGTTCCACTGAATGAATACTAATATCTTTAACAATTTCAAAATACTGAATAATCCCATAGACATCCCAGAATCCGGTGTCACAAGTGCATGAGCTATTACTAAGAGAATCGAATAAGGTACAATCACTGTCCGGAATACAAGTTGGACAGAAGTAAATACAATACGCTGAAGAGACTATATTGGCTGCGGGTCGCCTCGAGAAATGCAGCTCACCTAGTCTCCGTATCATCCATGCTGCTACGCCCAGTAGGCCGCTAGAAATACCTGTACCTGTGCAACAAAATGCACAGCAAGTGTAGCATGAGTACGAAAATAACGTGTACTCAGTAAGTATCCCGCCTAACCTCGAAGAAGTAGAGATGAGAGGTCGGCTTCGACACTTACTAGTGGTCCAACAATGATAAATCGATAATGTAACAAATTGAGGATTTATATAAGCATGATTGTAATTCAATAAAGTGAAGCAAGTAGGCAATTCTTTCTTTTATAGGAAATTCCCAAATCTCGTTTCATCATTTATACATGTATTCCCAAACCGGGAAGAAACAATATCACTTCAATAAATTTCAAGGCAAGCAATACAAGCCTGCGCAAATCATGCCGAGGACGTACGGCCCGATCCAATAATATTTAAATTGCGCACAGCCAGAGGGTCGAATGGCGTGAACCATAGATGCATCAGTTGATACCCAATTTTTCCTTACATATTTTTATTTACTCAAAATATTCTCAAATAGCATGTACATGCATATATAAGCATGCCCAAGAGTTTTGGTATTTTTCCTTAATTTTTAAAGATTTTAAAATTAATTTATTGTTTATTTTAATAGTACAAAATTCAATAATTATTCCCAGACTAGCATTTTTGGTAAATAATTTATTTTCATTCTCATATTTACACAAAGATATAATTAAGGTAAATATTTGCATATTTTTACATATTTGTTTGGTATTTTTTAAGCCAAATTGCATATAATTGCAATTATGACCTATTTTATAATTAACAACATTTTACAATTATAAAATCATTTTTAGTATTTTTAGATTAATATTTATACGTTATTAATTAAGTTCAGTACCTTTAATTTGTTTTAAAATCTTTTTAACCATTTTATAAAATAACAAAAAAGAAAAAATTGCCTATTTAATAAACAACCCTTTATTATTTCAATTTTAGCCAATTTGGCCACGCCTCTATCAGATTTAATTGACCCAATACCCAATTAAACTCACCCTATCCCAATCCCTAATATAACCCGGCCCAACCCCGATTTAATCTGAGCCGTTGATCAAGTAAGATCAACGACCCAGATCTATTTTCCTTAATTAAATCTAACTACCCCCTCTCGACCCCTCAGTCTTCGAGACAGTATCTCTCTCTACTTCGTCTCTTCCTCTCCCCCTTCTCTCTAGAACCTTCTGGTTCTTCTTCTCCGATGACCTCCACCATCTCTCCGGCCACCTCCAGCCTCACCTCTTTTGACCACCAGCCGCCATGAAACCCTATCTCGCCGATCCCTCTATCCTTGAGACCCCAGAAGCCTCCGCCATACAAGTCAGTCACTGAAGCTTCGCCTGGTTTGTTTCCGGCCTTTCTCCGGCGAGTTTTGACTCGATGGTGTTCTAATCACCATGGTTCCTGAGTTTCACGGCCAGGTTACCTCTACTTTCTCTGTTTTCTTAGGAAACCCTAACCTCGAACCCAAGTCTCTTAAAAACCCATCTGTATTTTAACGATTTGTGACCCATTCATTCATGTTTTAAACCTTTCTTTACTCGGTCTTTACAAATAATCAAGTTTTAAGCATCTTTGTCTCCTATTTGAAAGTAGGGTTTCTTGACCCTGTTTTCAGAAAGGTTTCCTATAATTTTTAACGTCTCTACTGTGTTTAAGCTATTATCTCCTGATTTTATGTTATTTTAACGAGTATTGATGAAACCCTAGGTATTTTGGGTTGTTTCTCTGCTACTTGACTATGCATCTATGTGTTCTCTGCAACTCCTGCATTGATTCA